AGGCACCGAGCCTTTTTTGTTTTTTTTTTTTAAAGAGATAATTGTGGCAAGCATCTGTAGTCCCGGCTACTTGGGACGCTGAGGCAAGAGAATCACTTAAGCCCAAGAGTTTGAGATTGTTGTGAGCTGTGATGCTACCTCACTCTACTGAGGGCAACAAAGTGAGACTCTGTTTCAAAAAAAAAAAAAGCAAACTCCTGGAGGAAGGATAACTTTAGGAGGTAGGGGAAACTTAACATATGTTAACATCTGAGCCTAGATTTTACTAAGAAGGTAGGTCTGGGGTATATATTCTAAGCATAGAAAGCATGAAAGAATAAAGTTATGTTCAGAAAATTGGAAGTGAGAGAGGGCAGATTAGCTTGGAGGCCTTTATAGTTTTTCAGGTGTTATATGTTGTATGTAATTGAAATGAAGAGTAAAATTCAGGTGATGTTTTGGAGATAAAAATTAGCATTGCAGGGTGGCACCTGTGGCTCAGTGGGTAGGGTGCTGGCCCCATATACTGAGGGTTGCGAGTTCAAACGACCAGCCCCAGTCAAACTGCAACCACACCACAACAAAAAAAAAAATAGCCGTGCGTTGTGATGGGCGCTTGTAGTCCCAGCTACTCAGGAGGCTGAGGCAAGAGAATCACTCAAGCCCAAGAGCTGGAGGTTGCTGTGAGCTGTAACACCACGGCACTCTTCCAAGGGCAACAAAGTGCAACTCTGTCTCTACAAAAAAAAAAGAGAGAGAAAATAATCGGCATTGCATGCATGCATTTGTGTAAGTAATGAAGGAAAGATGGAAGTAAAAAATGATGCTCAGTTTTCTGAATTGAGTGACTTAATTAGGGTACATGGCACGTGTATCAGAGTTCTTCAGAGAAGTCGAGCCAATAGGAGATTTTTTTTAATTGTGTGTGTATGTACAGATACAGAGACACATAGTTATGCATATTGAAGGAATTGGCTCATTTAATTGTGGGGTTGGTAAGTCTATAATCTGTACAGTAGACCATCAATCTGGAAACTCAGGACTTGATGTTGCAGTCTTTAGTCTGAAAAGTCTTGAGGCAGAAAGAGTTCTGTTCAGTTTTTGCTTTTTAGCTAGATTTTTAACTGATTGGATGAGGCTCCTCCACATTATGGAGGGTAATCTTTACTTAAAGTCAATTGATTATTATAGCTATTAATCACTTCTACACGGTACCTTTAGCAAAGTGTAGACTAGTGTTTGACCAAATAACTGGGCACCATGGTCTAGCTAAGTTGACATAAAATTTAATGATCACAATGGCAAATACCCGCACTGAAACAGGTGTGTGAATAAAAATAAAATTTTTTTTTTACATGTTTAACTGAGGCAATAATGAGTGGCATTTAGTAGACTCATTAAAATTCAATCAAGAGGGGCGGGCAGTGCCTGTGGCTCAAAGGAGTAGGGTAACCCAGCCCTAGCCAAAAAAAAAAAAAAAAAAACCCAGAAGAAAGAAA